AACTGCTGCTTGAAAGCCTGAAAGGTTAACCAGCCAAATGGTCAACCAGGCCAAATGCTTCTAGTTCCTGGTCTTCACGCCTTATATACCTTTCTGCTTTCTACCAACACCCCCTGGGATTAAAGTCTCACTTTTTGGGATTAAAGGCGTGTGTCACCATGCTTGGCTGTATCCTTGAACACATGGATTTCTGCCTCTGGAATGCTAGGATTAAAGGCATGTGCTACCACTGCCTATCCTAAATATTTAGTGGCTTTTCTGTTCTCTGACCCCAGATAAGTTTATAAGGGTATACAATATTTTGGGGAACACAATACCACCACATTGGTCCACTTGGAAAAAAAACCTCTAAACAGGTTCCAGTGTATTTTACAATGTGTGTAGACTTAAGAAAGAAAAGAAAATGGGTATAGACAGTTATAGAAAGAGTTTAAAAAAGTAAAGTCTTTAAAGAGATGGTAAAAGTAATATAAAAGAAAAAAGCCATGTAAGATGGGAAATACACAGGGAGTCTGTATCGTATATAGTATTGTGTTGATTTCTAATTTTTTGAATGCTGACAAGCAAGGAATTGCTGCTGAGAGTCATGGGGTTGTGAACTGGACTGCTAAATTGAACCAATCTAGATACTTTAGGAATGCCTTAATTTAAAAAAAGTCAAAGAATGCTTTTTTCAAATGGAAATAAAAAAATGTTTGGAGTTCTGTTCCCACAGGAGACAAGAGGCTATGGATTCCTTCAGGAATAATATGGATCAGGTTTGATGGGGAAGACCTCTTGATTCTTGACAGGTGATATATATCAAAAAAGGTTGTGGCCACTATCTCAAATTTTCTCAGGCACCCCTAAAAAAGATGGCTTTGTTCACAGACAGCAGGAAGCAGTCTAGAGAAAACCAGGCCCACATTCCTAAGAGTTGGGGGGTGTGGGTGTTTTTGGTTATTTGGTGGGCTATGAATGTTTGTTATCATTTAGGGGAATATAGTATATTGATACAAATTTAAAGTTATTGTTACATTATGTATATGTTTCTACTCTTGTTTAAATGATTTTTGTATATTGATACAAATTTAAAGTTATTTTTGTTACGCTATATATATGTTTCTACTCTTGTTTAAATAATTTTGTATATTGATACAAATTTAAGGTTTTTTTTAAACATATTGTATGTATGTCTCTATTTTTGTGTGCAGTATTATGCCTATGCACTTCATTTGGAAATGTAAGGTGAAGTTCTAGTTTTTAAAAACTATATAAGATAATCAGGAACATAGTTTATTGGTTAGTCATTTCTAACAATCAAAATTGTAGATATGTTAGGTATGCTTTCCAGATCATATAGAGATATATTTTAGATAGATAGATGGTCCTCAAACTTTTCAAAGACCTACAGAATATGGCATTTAAAATGTTTTATTAACTTAGGGCTTTTCATGACAATGAGACACATCTGCTCCTGGCAGCACAAATTTACTTCAGAGATGATGGGCATCGAAGAAACTCCTAATGGAGTTTGCTTTCAATGTGGCAAGGCTAGCCATTTGGGCAAGAAGCTGCTCTTGCCTGGACTGCTTGACAAAATGCTGTATAAACTGAACATGCAGGACCTATAGGATGGTGACCACTGAACTTTGCCAAAACATGGTGGGATGGTTCTTCAGGGTTCCTGCTTCACAGAAGAAACTGTCAGACATTCTACAGTACACAGAGGAAAGTGACTGACAAACTTGGTCAATATAGGCAGGACAGTCTTTCAAATTTCTTACTTCATTGAAAAGTCTGCCAGATACTATGGACATGTAGACTGAAGATGGGTGTCCCAATGTTGCAAAGGAACTTTGGGTGATTGTCCAGGCACTCAGATGTCTCTGACATTTCTAGAGTTTTTGAAAGTTGTTTACAATGTACTTTTTGTTTACTTAAGTAATAATAAATCCTTCTGTGGCCTTTGACAGAGTTGAAGACTAGATAGTTATAGTTGCAGTTTTCCTTAGATATGATACAAAGTAAATTAGGTATAAAATTTTGGATTTCCTAAGATAGGATAGATGTAGTTAGGGATTATGTAGATTTAGTAAAGTGGTGGTTGTAGATTCTTCTTCAAGATCTATGACTTTACTAGCCCCGGGTAGATAGCTAGGTCTTCAGTACCAGGTATGATTTCCCTCTTGTTGGATGGGTCTTACATCAGATTAGAGAGCTGTTGGTTACCACCAACATATATGTGTTACTATGAGGTGCACAGCTTTTGCCCAAGGTAAAGCTATTTTGAGTATCTTTTCTAGTTAATTTCCCAAGTTTTGGTTCTACTGCCACTATTATCTTTTATTATATTTTGACATTTTTGACTTAACAAACATTAGAGGGCCAATTTGAGGGTATTTGTATAACAACAATGCTGTAAAAATTTCAGTGCTTTAACTGTTATAAACAATAAATAACTAATCACATATCTTACAACTTTTGAGTTTAGGGATCATTAACCTTAAAAACATAAATTAATCAAAAAGAGGAATTACTTGGAAATTATTTGTATATGAAATAAAATTCATAATCATTTGAGAGTACTATTGTTGACTTTCTTAACTCATCATGAAACCTTAGCTTCCTTAAAATTATCTGTGAATTTATTACTTCAAAATTTACATCCAGGTGGTGGTGGTGCATGCCTTTAATCCCAGCACTTGGGTGGCAGAGGCAGGTGGATCTCTGAGTTCCAGGACAGCCAGGTCTACAGAGAGAGTTCGAGGACAGAGAGCTACATAGAGAAACTCTGTTTTGAAAAACAAAAACCAAACCAATCCAAACCAAAACAAAACAAAGCAAAAATTTACTAGGAGCCTTTACCTTTTCACTTATTAATTCAATATTTTCTAGGAGCTGTTACTGTACCAAGTAATATTTTAGATATTCATATGCTCTTATAGGTCTATAGTCCTTTCATTTCCTAGGCAAGCACACAAATAAAGAGGACTGTTAGGTCCTGGAGTTGTACAAATAACGGGGTCCAGACCACTGGAGTCTATTAACCAGAAGCAAACTTTATTCCAAACACCTCGGGGCGCTGTGATATAGGCATAAATACAGAGATGCTCATGGGATATCCAAGCTCACTCAGTTCTTTATTACATTTGCAGTGAGGTTCAGAGACACATTGAAGGGAGGACATCATTTGTGGGATAGGCATTTTTTAACCCCATACTTCCAAATTGGAAATACTCTTCACTACACACAACAAAATTTCATTTTTTTCAAAACAGGTTAAGAAATTTGGTTATGTCAGCTTAAAGTATATGTTTGTTTAGGGTACATAGCCAATGCATGGTATGTAGAATTAATTTCTAGGTTCCCATAACCAAAAGGGTACCAATAAACCTGCTGAGTGCCACTTAAAAATCTGGTAGTCTGGCCTGCCATGGTGACATATGCCTGTAATCCCAGCACTCAGGAGGCAGAGGCAGAGGGATCTCTGTGAGTTCAAGGCCAGCCTCGTCTACAGCGTGAGTTCCAGGACAGCCAGGGCTACACAGAGAAACCCTGTCTCGAAAAACAAAACAAAACAAAACAAAACAAAACAAAAAATTCCGGTGGTCCGAAAGTGTTCTAATTCACAGTTTGAGCTTGCGTGCTTTTTTTTTTTTTTTTTTTTTTTTTTTTTTGGTTTTTCGAGACAGGGTTTCTCTGTGTAGCTTTGCGCCTTCCCTGGAACTCACTTGGTAGCCCAGGCTGGCCTCGAACTCACAAAGATCCGCCTGGCTCTGCCTCCCGAGTGCCGGGATTAAAGGCGTGCGCCACCACCGCCCGGCTCTTTTTTTTTTTTTTTTTGAGACAGAGTTTCTCTGGGTAACAGCCCTGGCTGTCCTGAAACTCTCTTTGTAGACCAGGCTGGCCTTGAACTCACAGAGATCCGCCTGCCTCTGCCTCCCAAGGATTGGCATTAAAAGGGGTGCGCCACCACACCCGGCTAGTTTGAGGTTTCTGAAGGATATTTTTTTTCTGTTCACAACCTGGAACCATTTGAGGCTTTTTGTGATTACCTGGGAGAAGTTACCGGATGGAAAAAGTTATTTCCAAGAAAGGAGAAGAGTCAACAATTAACTTTATTTCGTAGACTCTGTAGGATGCTTTCAGCTTAATCTCATGCTAATTTTATTCTGTCCACTAATCGAGCGTTGTGAATGGTGCACGAATAGTTTTCCAGCCAACTCGTCTTGCCTTCTTTGCAAATCCACCCCTGAATCAGAACTCAACCTAAACTCCAAAACGTCCACATTCCAAACTCCCAGTTTTCTGTAATAGCTTATCCTGACCACGGGGACCTCAAGCCCTCTCTCTAAGCGTGGGTCCGACGCCCAAATTCTTTGCTTTAAGAGAGCACAGCACAGCGAAGCTCCGCGCCGCCGGGGAGGGGAAAAGTCGATCGAGTCCTCAGCGCGCGCTCTAGGGCCGCAAGTCCAGGAGCGCTCTGGCAGGTGCGCGCGCACCTGTCGCTCGCCCGGGCTCGCCCGGCTCGCCCAGGGGTGCAAGCTGTGCGCTCTCGCCCGGTGCGCGCCCCGTTGCGCTTAATGCTCCTCTGCATTAAGGGAGGAGCAGCGTGGCGGGCGGGCTGGCTGGCTCCCTGTTTCCCGGGAGTTCGGCAGCGAGCGTGTCTCCCCCCCCCCCCCCCCCCACGGCGGGAGTCTGGGAGGCTCGCCCGCTCGGGCGGTCGCCGCGCCCCCTGGCGGCGGCCCCGCGGCGCGGGTCGGAGCGTGGGTCCGTCAGGCGTTCTCCGCGGGCAGCCCGCGGCGGGGCCTTGCCTTATATAGCGCGGGGTCCTCGGCGGCCTGGGTGGCTACTTGCCCGTGCTGCTGTCGTAGACGCGGACGGCTGTTAGTGCGGCGGCGGCGGCGGCGGCGGCGGCGGCGGCGGCGGAGGGACAGGGCGAGGCGGACGGGGACCGGAGGAGGCAGGCGCGGCGGCGGCGGCGACGGCGGTGCCCGGGGCCCGCGGCGGCGGCGGCGGCGGCGGCGGCGGCGGCAGCGGCGGCGGCAGCGGCAGCGAGGGGGGCGAAGATGGCGGACGTGCTCAGCGTCCTGCGACAGTACAACATCCAGAAGAAGGAGATCGTGGTCAAGGGGGACGAAGTCATCTTCGGGGAGTTCTCCTGGCCCAAGAACGTGAAGACCAACTATGTCGTGTGGGGGTAAGTGCGCCGTGGCTCCGGCCTAGGGATGGTTGGGGTCGCGTCGGGCGCCCCCGGGCGACCTCTCCTCCCCCTGAACCCCCCTCCTCCCCTTCCGAGTCCCTCGGGGATGGGAGGAAAACGGGTGCTCCTGGGGAGGGGGTGGAAAAAGTTCTTCGCTGGAGCAGAAGTTGCACTTTGAGGGTGTGGAAGCAAGAGGGGGAGCGGATTCTAGAGCGGTCAAGTCTTTTTTTTTTTTCTTTTCTGTGTTGGAGAAGCCACAGGGAAAGGGACCCTGGGAGTTTCCGACTTTCCCAGTGGGGGCTCACCAATACGGATCGGTTTGTCCGCGCCCTGTGGGGTTGTGCACGTCTACCTGAACGTAGGTATAGGAGCACAAAGCACAGCATCTGGCGGCCACCGAGTCGCTTTTTGTTCTTAGTTTTTTTTTTTTTTTTTTTTTTTTTTGCCCTGAGGCTGCCATGTGTTGCAACTGTCTCCCCAGGCTCTTGGAGCGCCTGGGTAATTTTCTTTCTTTCCTCCCCCCCCCCCCCCCCTTCATTGGGTAGAATGCTGTTATTCCTCAAGAAAAAAAAAAAAAGGGCATAGACTTGAAGTTCATTAAAGAAAGAGATTGGGAGAGTTTGGAAGTCTGCAAAATCAGTGTTCGAGATGAAAGCAGGGCTTTACTGGGGAGGAAGTTACTGGTGAAATGGGTCTGAGAAATTGATCCTCTGCTTTTTCGGAAAGCGCCCGAAAGAGGAATCTTTCGAAATATTGATCCTTGCATGCCTTGAATTTAAGTCACTCAGGAAGCCACCGAGGATCAAGTTTAATAATCCTCTGGGGCCTCTTTAATGATGTTACTGTCATTGATGCTTCACTTTGATAATTAGAATCATGGAGTCAGAATTTTGGTACCCATTTTGTTTGAATGACTTCATGAATGGTCAATTAAAAAACTAGACAACGTTAAGATTTCTTTTGACTTATTGATTCTCTTTTTGAAATGTTGATTAAGTGACAGTCTGAGTTTAACGTGTTTTACTCTTTCAAATAAATTACGCAGAATTATTGGATTTTAATGAATATTTTTCTTTAAAAAAACTCAAGATATAGCGGACGTGGTGGTGCACGACTTTAATCTCAGCACTCGGGAGGCAGAGGCAGGCAGATCTCTGATTTCAAGACCAGACTGGTCTACAAAGCATGTTCCAGAATAGCCAGGACTGTTAAACAGAGAAACCAAAAACCAAACCAAACCAAAAATCAACCCTCAAGGTATAAATAAGTTTAAATTGAGAAATAAAAAAAAGCTGAAAACCCTGGTTCCTGCCTTACTGGAGGCTAACCTATTTTAGCTCGGAAAGATGAAACAGATTAAGTTGATGCGAAATGTTTCTTTCTAGCTGCTAGGAAGAGAACAGTTGTTTACAGGCAGTGCTCGTCTTTAATCCCAGCACTCTGGAGGCTATGGCAGGCGGATCACTGTGAGTTCCAGGCCAGCCTATACAGAGTGAGTTCCAGTACAGCCAGGGCAACACAGAGAAACCTTGTCTCGAACCCCCCCTCCCCCAAAAGTTGTTTTCTTCTAGGTGTGTCTCCCCCAAAAGTTGTTTTCTTCTAGGTGTGTGTGGGATATTTAGAGAGGGTTTCATGGAAATGTGTTTGACATGCGTCCATTTTACAATGTCCCTTCCTTTAATAAATGAATGAACAGATGAGTAACTTTTAAAGAATGGATAAGAATTCTGAGTGAAATGGTGGAATAGCCTTCCAGTATAGGGACTTGTATAATTTAGATATGAATCCTGGAAAGAGCATCCCCCCCCCACCCCCCCCAGACAGGGTTTCTCTGTGTAGTTTTGGTGCCTGTCCCGGATCTTGCTCTGTAGACCAAGCTGGGCCTCGAACTCACAGAGATCCACCTGGCTCTGCCTCCCGAGTGCCGGGACTAAAGGCGTGCACCACTACCACCACCCGTAGAAAGCATGTTTTGACAAGAGCTTATAAATAAGTGGAAAAGTAAAACTTAGAAAAAATTGAAACTTTTAATATCATATCTTCAATAGTTATTTCTACATGTATGTACATCTAAGTACGTACATATATAAAAGATTAATTAGTACCCTTAATGCATTCATTGCTTTCTGCTTTTTTACCATTACTTTGTACATAATTAACGAGTAATGGCTGATTTGATGTATCAGTTTAGAAGAAAAGTGATAATAGAACCTAGTAAAGTAGGTTTTGGACAAATTACATTGAGCTGCATTCAAATAGATTCATATAGTTTAACCATCATAACTACAGATGGAGGGGGAAGGGAGAAGTGGAAAGCTGTGTATGTGTTAGCATTATAGAGTTTGTACCCCCAAGACTACATTGTTGAATCACAGAATTAAATTTTGGTTTTGTGTCACTGGTCTAGTTTGAGAGACGTTACAAGGATCATACCATTGAAGTTCATCCTGTTTCCTTTTCAGAATATTGTTGAGGATGTTGTATGGCAGTATCTTGTTTAGAACTTGTTAGAAAGATGTTCATTTTCTAAGTGCAGCCAGCCCTAGTGATCCTTCCCCTGAGCAGTTAGTTTCCTCTGAATGATCTTTCCATTGAGCAGCTGGTTGGGTTGCTTTCTCTGTTGACAGAGCTCAGAACACAATTTAGGTCTTATTTTAAAATATGTGTAAAGTGAGGCTGAGGATGTAGCCTAGTTGGTAGAGTGCTTGCCCTGCATGAATGAGTTCCTGTATTTGATCTCCAGGACCACATACAACATGCCACCCTCAACTGTGTGGCCGATTTGAGGCCAGCTGGGATACATGAGACCTTGCCCATCTTAAAAATAGAAAAGAAAAAAGTATATATAGTATTTTAGAGTATGAATTTATGTGCTCTCCCTGCTTCTTTCATTTTTTTTATTCTGTCTTTTTGCCCCAACAACAACTCACTTATAAGAGTTTATATTGCATATTTATTTTTTGCTGTGTTAACTACATTGTTAGATAATCAGGTAGATATAGATAAATGAATACATGTAACTAAGGTTAAATAATTGATTTAAAAATCTTAATTAAACTCATGTTTTAATCATTTTAGGACTGGAAAGGAAGGCCAACCCAGAGAATACTACACATTGGATTCTATCTTATTTCTACTTAATAATGTACACCTTTCTCATCCTGTTTATGTCCGACGTGCAGCTGTAAGTAGAATTCATTTTAAAATTTCATTGATTAAACAGTTAGTGTTTGGTATAGATAACTTTCCCTCATGGGTTTCAAATGTCTGAAATTGTTTTGGAGCATCAAAATTAAGCTGCTATGTGATTTATTCAGTTGTTTTAGTTGACAATTCATTATTCATGTAAAATGTAGGTAATGTTTATAACAGTAGACAGTTTGTTTGTTTGTTTTTAGAGACAGTTTCTGTGCATATTCCTGGCTGTCTGGGAACTTTCTATGTAGACCATGCTGGTCTTTGAACTCACAGAGATCTGTCTGCTTCTGCCTCCTGAGTGCTGGGATTAAAGGCGTGTTCCACCATTGCCCAGCATAACAGTAGAAGTTTTAAAAGCACTTTCATAGATGTTTCAAAAATGTGTAAGCTGGTGGAAGAACTCTGATAATTCAGAACTACAGTTTAATTTCAAGAAAACTTTTCTTAGTATAAACGTAATAGAGGGCAGGGAGGGGTAAAAATGATGTACATTCAGTACTCCAGTATGAAATTCTCAATAAATAAATAAATCCAACATGAATAGATACTTTTAGAATTTTAAACAGTGTAGTTATTTTGGTACTGTAGTGACAGATGTATTGTTTTTCAGTTTTATCTGCTTTTTCAGTGTTTGAAAATCCATTATTGAGAGAAAATCATTAGAAATAATTAAAAATGCTTCATTTTACAGAGATTATTATGGTGGCGTTCTTCCAAAGGCAAGAGACTTTTAAAAACTGATAAGTAAATAGGATTCAGACTTATTTGAATTTGACATTGCAAATTGCCATAAATGTCCAAATAAGATGGTTTCCCAGATGCTTTTTTTGGGCGCTGGAGGAACACGGGTTTCATGTAGCCCAGGCTGGCCTTCAGCACCTATGTAGTAGAGAATGACCTTGAACTTCTGATTCTCTTGCTTCTCTACCTCAGTGCTTGGATTAGATGTGTGTGGAATCATGCCTTGTTTCTATGGTGTTGGACATTGAACCTAGGGCTTCATGCATACTGACAAATACTCTTCTAGAGATACCCCAGCCTTTTAGCTTTTATTGAAAGTGAGGGCCTTATCAGATCCCTTGGTAGGGTTGGAGATGCTGATATATTCAAATATCCATTCTAAATGTTGTGTTAACTTATGAGTATATACTTTACTCATTGTATTAATTTAAAATAGTACTTTCATGTCTTAAAATTCTTAGAACAGACTCTTCCTAGGCACCATTATTGTGCCTGCCTGCCTTCAGTAGAGCCCCTCTTTGGGATCTGACACTGCTGCTGGATTGCATTATGTTGTGAGAGATCTGCTTTGTAGCCTTGCCTTCAAAGCAGTGATAGTTGAGGTTTTGGAATAGAAACTTGTTGTTTGGACTAGCTGAGAAAGGATTCATCATTGAATGGGCTTCAGTATTCAGTAGGACTGCTTTTCTGAGCAAGAAACATTCAGTGTTAAATACATTTTTAAAAAACCTTAAAATTGTTAAGTAGTAGGGAAAATATTAGCAATTGACCATTACATTGTTCTTTATTAGATCTTTAAATAAAAACTGAATCAAGCCCTGGGTGGTGGTGGTACATGCCTTTAATCCCAGCACTTGGGAAACAAAGGCAGGTGGATCTCTGAGTTCGAGGCCAGCCTGGTCTGCAAATCGAGTTCCAGGACAACCAGGACTGTTCCACAGAGAAACTATATCTCAAAAAAAAAAAAAAAAAAAAAAAAAGGCAGACAAAAACCCAAAACGGAATCAAGCAGTTAGAATTGTTTGTTAAATTGAAGTACTTAGAGATTTAAAGATTATATTCTTGTAGAGTGGTTATAGTTCATAACAGTTACCGTCGTTACTGTGGACCCAAGGATTTCCAAGTCCTTTAAGATGTGACATTTGTTTTTCTTAAGAATTTTCCAAGGGGGCAGACATGTAACCGTCTATAGTCGTGCAGAGTAGAGGTTGCTTTTTCAGTTGCCATGTTCTTGCTGATTGTTGTACACCAACTCTTCCTGGAGTAGGTAGATGCTCCTGACCCCTGGGGCCTCTAGTGTCAGCAGACCTGCAGTTTCTTAGATGGCTCCAATGTGCGCCACACTTGAAGGGATTCTGAAATACCTTAGCAGACTCTGAGATTGTGAAATAATCTGTGTAGGCTGATTAAAAAATGACAATGACAGAAATACTTATAGGTTTTTAAACTTGTATATATACTCATAAGGAAAAACTAAAATTCAGCCTGACCTTTTAAAAAAAATTCAGTGATTTATTTGTTGAGCTAAGTCAGAAAAAAGTATGTGCAAGTACTGGGTGTTGTGACATATAGTGGTCATTGTGAGGTAATTGGCTAGTAATACTAAGGGTTCTTATTACGTCATTGTTGTTTATAATAGTTGACAAAGGTTTTAATCTGCAATCCCTTGGCAACCAGTTTTTCTTTCACTCTGTTTACATTAGAAAAATGATAAAGGAAAATTTTGGTAATGGCAAAATTCATTGGCCCAAAGATGACTTGATGCCTGAGTGTACATTTTATTTGTTTTAAGCATCTTTTAAAAAGATATGCTATTTTTACTTATGCGGCTGTGTTGTATCTTAAGTACACATGAGTACATGAGTTCAGGTACCAGATGCGGCCAGGGGAATCTAACCCTTTCCCCGAACTGGAGTTACAGGTGGTTGTGAGCCACCTGACGGAAGTGCTGGGAGTTGAACCCTGCTTCTCTGCAGGAGCAGCCAGTGCTCTAGCTGCTGAGCCAACTTCTTATTGCAGCTCCTCACATGGCTCTAAGGTGGTAAACTACTACAGTTACCATTTTCTTAGAGTTCATTTGTTCTCATGTACTTGTTAATTATCAAAATTCGTATTTAGTGGTTTATGTAGTTCACTTGGAAGAGTTTCAGTTGAATAGTTCGAAGAGGTTTGGTCTGTGTGTGGGAAAAAAGCACTACAGACAAAGTATAAAGTGAGTCAACATTGGGACTGAAAAGGTAGTGTCCCTGTATGTGCATAACATCCTGAGTGCAATTCAGAATTAAGTAACAGCTTGGCGGTGGTGGTGCACGCCTTCAATCCCAGCACTTAGATGGTAGAAGCAGGGGGATCTCTGTGAGTTCAAGGCCAGCCTGGTCTACAGAGCAAGTTCTGGGACATCCAGGGTTACACAGACAAACCCTGTCTCCAAACAAACCAAAAAAAAAAAAAAAAAAGTAAAGTCGAGGGTTGAGAAAGCCTGAGATTGATACTTTGAGAAAAGATAAAATTATTACTTACTTTCAAACAAGTGTCTGGAATCTATCTTTCTGAAATTTCCAAAGTAAAATTACTGAAAATTAACATTTGAGAAATTTTCAAGAATTTTAGATAATTTTTAGCTTTTTTTTTAAACAAATGTGACTTTAAATACATGCTACTAAGGATTGTTAGATAAATTCAGAGATTACATGATATTTATCAAGTTTCATAGTTGCTTCCATTCAATATCTAATTTAAAATTTTGGCTTCAGACCGAAAATATTCCTGTGGTTAGAAGACCTGACCGAAAAGATCTACTTGGATATCTCAATGGGGAAGCATGTGAGTAGTTTTAAAATTGCTCCCACTTTTAAACATTGGTTTTTTTTTTTTTTTTTTTTTTTCCCAAATCTTCCCTTTGAAGTAAGATGTAGTGGGAAGTTTGTATTTCCACTAAATACCTTACCTAAAGCTGTCTCTGTGCTTCTCCCTGCAGCTGCACAGCATTGTCTATTGTTAGGCTGTCTCTCCACCCTTGCATGAGGGTTCTGTTCATAGTGTCAAAGACTTTTGTCTCTGTAAATTATTATTTCTGTCTTGCTTTACTGTTTTCTCCTTCTGAATCATTACCTTTTAGAATACATGTACAAATATCTATTCTTTAAAAATTATTTTTTGATTCCACATTTCTCTCTCTCTCTTTTGGAGACAAGGTCTCTCTATGTAGTCCTGGCTGTCCTGGAGCTCATTCTTTAGACTAGGCTGGCCTTGAGCTCACAGAGCTCTATTCACCTGTCTGCTTCCCAAGTGCTGGGACTAAAGGTGTGCGCCACCACCACCTGGCTGATTCCACATTTCTATTTATCACTGTTTTCTTTTTATTACTATAAAAAAAGAATTGACATAATATCACTGCTTCCCCTTTGCCTGCTCCAGGTTCCTTCTGCCTAGCTTTCATCCTCACCATCCCGTTCAAGTCAGAGAAACTTGAGAGTTGCCACATCCTTTGTTTCCTTTTACCCCCTACCTGTGAAGATTTGATACTGTTGGAGAGTGCTTCTTTGAAGTCCTTCACTTGGCATTTTGGGACCCTAGACTTTGGGTATTCTGTTCATTGTTTACCTTTCAGAGTATTTTTGTCACTTCTGTGCCTAAGTTGTCTTAGGTTTTTTATTGCTGTGATGAAACACCATGACCAAAATCACTTTGGGAAGGAAAGCGTTTATTTCGTTCTATAGCTTGTACTCCATCATCCAGGGAAGTCAGGGTAGGAACTGATACAGAGGCTCTGGAGGAGTAGAGGACTGCTGCTAACTGGCCTGTTCCTCATTGCTTGCTCAACCTGCTTTCTTATGGCCTCCAGGACCATCATGGTGCCTAAGGTTGATATCACCCACAGTGAGTTGCCCTCCACCCCTATCAGTCATCAGTCAAGAAAATGCACCACAGGCTTTTCTACAGATAATCTTACAGAGGCATTTTCTCCTTTGAGGTTTCCTCTTCCACATAGCTTGTGCCAAGTTGACATGAAACTAGCTAGGAAGTTTTCTATGGCTCTTTTTCTCTCGTAACTCTAAAATCTCTAGGTGACCCCTTCCAAGTTGTATGCTGTAAATATCCTATTCATATTGCCGAATTCCAAGTGTAGTTGGCCTTTGAACAACATGGGTTTGATAAGTACAAGTCCACTAATATGTAGTGAGGATTTTTTTTTTTTAAGATTTGTGACTGTTTTGAAAAAACATTAGCCATCACAAAAAAAAATTAAGTATATTATTATGTTATATACTAACTTAAAAATAAGTTAAAAAGTACAATGACAAAAAGGTATATAATAAATATATAAATTATCTATTCATTTATAATTCAAAAGTCTATTATACACAATTAAAACTTATCAGAACTGTCACATAGTATTTCTATACCATATTGATACCATTCACTATTGAGAGAAATGTAAACAAACATAAGATGCATTATTAAGTCATAACTGAATAAAATCAAGGGTAGTATGTTACAGCTTTATAATGATTTCCTCTGACAATTCTAGTGAGCTGAGGCAGCACAGGTATCTGCTTAAAACGTCATGTACTCTTGTAATGAGATTACCTCTTCAGAATGTTGTATGTTATTGTAAAAAGTGATTTCTTGCAGTTCTTAGATATTTTTTCCATCATATATTATGTGTGCACTATATGATACTGATACATACATCAAAAATATGGGTTACTGCCTATGTTATTGTTAAATAGCTTCTGGTAAACAACAATGTATTAATTCTTTTGGGCAGGTTTTTGAGAAGTCAAATTTATATGTGAGCTTTCAACTTGATGAGAGAATCAGTGCCCCAACCCCCATGTTCAAGAGTCAGTTGCATACATCTCCCAGTAACTCTACTTCATATTTATAAATTTACTGTTGTCATCTTCCTTTAAATGTTTAACAGGCTTCTGAAATTGAGCGTGTTCAAAATAGAGTGCCCAATTTACTCCTTCCCATCTCCACCCACATGAAACAAAAGTGAGTCTGTTCTTCTCATCTTAGAAAGAAGGGATGGTACCTTATGTAACTTCATGCAATGACTTAGGCCTTAAACCCCAGTGAAATTATTTTTCTGACATATTCACACCATTTGTAAGTCCTTTTCTCTCCCTTGAAAACCGTGACAGTTTTCCACTCTACTCCAGCCCTGTCCCACTTCTCTTTATGCTAAAACCTTCTCATATATTCTTACTCTTTATTTGCTACAGCTTATTCTATATCTAACAAGATTTGTTTTTGAAAAAGCATGTAAATTTAATTGTGCCATTTGTCTGCTCAAGGCCATTTGTGGGTTCCATTACACTTAGGATAAAGCTCATACTTCTTACCGTGTGAACTCCATGACCATGTTTCTGTCTAAATCTCTGAGATCATCTTCCATCATTCTTCCTTTACCAAAGCAGCCCGTGTATTGATCTTTCAGTTGGTTTAATTAATCTCAGAGCCTCTGTGTTTGCATTTCTTTCTGTCTTCAATTGTCTGTGTTGTTACTGGGCTGTCATATCTTCCATGATGCTCAAATAGTCTTCCAAGGATTGTTCTGTCAGTGAAGACATCTCTCCATTCTAAAATACGAAATAACATCCACCCTCATGTCTTTCTGTATGTAATCATCCTATTTATTTTCTAAACAAATATCATATTTATTATCTAAAATTATATTTATTACTTACTTGGATATTGTTTACTAGAGAGTGAACCTTAAAGGAACAGTTGTTTCGGTTGTCTTATTTTACTACTCATTAAAAAGTGTAGAGCCGGGCGGTGGTGGTGGTGGTGGTGCACGCACGCCTTTAATCCCAGCACTCGGGAGGCAGAGCCAGGCAGATCTCTGTGAGTTCGAGGCCAGCCTGGTCTACAAAGTGAGTTCCAGGAAAGGCGCAAAACTACACAGAGAAACCCTGTCTCGAAAAACCTAAAAAAAATAAAATAAAATAAAAAGTGTAGAACAGCAGCATATAGTAATTGAATGAATGAATAATTTTTTTGTAGCATATACATAAATTTAGTATTATAGAAACATAATAGATCTCACCTTCCCTAGGATGGAATTTATTGTTATCATTAAGCCATTAATAGCAGTTATGTTAAACATTCTGCCACATGTTTTTAAGCTGTAGTGTTGGTATGTGTAGAGAGTGCATAATAGGAAGACCTCTAGGACTGTTTTCTTGTGTGATTTTCATTCTGCAAATGTGTAACTTTTTACAGTTTTTTTTCCAGATTGTGTGTGTGTGTGTATGTGCCACAGCTTGTATGTGGAGGTCAGAGAATAACTTTGAGTCAGTTCTCTTCTTCTACCTTTATGTAGCTTTCAGGAATCCAATTCAGATTGCTGGTTTGTATGGCATGGCTGTACCTGATGAGTCAGCTCACTGGCCCTCCATGCTTATTTTTAAATTGAATTATGCTGGGCATTGTATAGAATGTAAAGTCTTGTTACTTTCATATAAGGTAAACGAGGAATGAGGAGGAATTCCATTCCTGCAAAGGCAGTTGAGATGGAAAGATCAAAAATAGGCTTTTTATTTTTGTCTGTTTTAAATCAAAGCAAATTTAATTATTTGGAGCATGAGAATCATGGTATACCTGTTTAAAAAAATATATTTTTTTCTTCTTAGACTTTTCTCCTAAAAAAATGTATTGAAGGGAGTGTAGGATTTTTCAGTTTTACTAAGTGTCTCAGATGCACCTGGTAAATCTCTTCACTTTGGGAGAGTCTCAATGAGTTGTTTATTCACATCATTTCTTGTGTTTTCTATAGGACAAATTTAGTTCTCAAATGTATTTTTTTTTATATTTTTAAAACATGTTACTAGTTCAATGAAAAAGTTGAAAGTAGTTAAGATAGCATTGTATTTAATAACTTAAAGACATTAACTGTTTACATGAACTACACGTTTAAAAGCATGATCTCAACAAAAGACAACTTTTCTTGAACAATAGAACTACATAAATTTAAATTTCACTTGGTAAAAATAACTATCTTAACAATTTGAGGAAAAGCAATGAGAACAGACTAATCATTCTGGAGTGTAGAACTTAAAGACCTAATGATTTAAAAACTGAGAATGAGTAAATACATTAATAAAACAACTTTCATGTGTTAGATAAGAAATACAAATGCGAGACTGGCAGTATAGTATGATGATAGTGCATCTGACTCCAGAAAATACACACATCAATTTAACATTTAAATGAAGACATGTCAGAGCAATGGAAGAAGGTAGGATTATCAGTTAATATTTGATAAAAATAAAAAAAGTTCTGTATCATTAAAAACAGCCCGGTAGTGGTAGTGAACACTTTTAATCCTAGCACTTGGGAGGCAGAGGCTGGTGGATTTTAGTGAGTTCTAGGCTAACCTGGTCTACAGAGCTAGTTACAGGACAGCCAGGGTTACACAAAGAAACCATGTCTTGAAAACAAACAAAGAGAAAAAACAAAAGGCCTGATATACTGGAAAATGTTTCAACTACTATAGAATCAGTTACACTAGTTAGCACATGAAGTGTGACATTGTAAATAGACATACAAAAGACCAACAACTTGAATAGTTATAACCAACATATAATTAACAGAAAAGATGATAAATCACTTGTAGATATGATTTACTTTATAATAAATTGCAAATTTAAAGGATACAAAGATAAGATTTTAAATTTTGCTGTTTGTTAGTGAACTCTGGTGAGGCTGGAAGGGAGCATTTGGCATCATTGGTTGTGTTACTTTATAATCTTCCTGAAGTTGTTGACAGTTCATTTCAGATGAAATAGAACTCCTACATTTGGAACTGTCTTAGAGGTATGTATTAAAAATGTAAAAAGTAGCATACATGTGAAGTTTCTTTATGCTATTGTTTGTAATAACAAACTACTTAGAATTGAGCTGCCTACTCATAGAACACCATTCAAATGAATTATAATTATTCCATACAACAAGATACCCCATAGCTGTAAAATGAAAAAGAAGTTAGGGAACTACCCTATATACTGGTATTTAAAGGGTGTCTTTTTTAAAATGGGAAACAAGTTTTAGAATATTCTGTGTATTATGCCGCCTTTGTGCACAAAGGTACAATACAGTATTTGTATTTCTTGTATTTGTAGGTGGATATATAAGACAATAACTAGTTATATAGGGGAGTAGGAACTTGGTGGAAGGGGCCAGGTACTCTTCTTCTTTTTTTTTTTAATAGTTTTATTTTGAGCCACTCAAAATAATTTGAAGGATAGTTGGAAGTGTCTTACCAATTGTGAATAACTAAAATTTGCATGTTAATATGATAGTGTCCTTTTTTAAGTATTTGGGGGAAGCATACTCACTAAATGTGTGTTTGTTATAGGGGAGTATAATCTGAACTGACCAATTAACTTTAGTAATTAGCATCTCACTAGTTTGTAAGCTAAATTGTTAAAAATCGTTTGTTCTTTCACAGATGTTCAAATGCATAGTCATCTTGTTAATAAAATACTTCTGTAGGGCTGCTTTTTGAAATCATTTTACCTAGGGAAATCCTCTTATGGATATAAGAAATAAAATAAAGCTTGAATATTTCCCCTGGAATAACATCCAAAATAAATGCTCAAATGTTGGTCTGCTTATATGATTTTTCTTTTCCGTTTTCAGCAACATCAGCAAGCATAGATAGGAGTGCCCCCCTGGAAATAGGTCTTCAGCGGTCCACTCAAGGTATACCATGTCTTTATCTTTGACCTTTAAACTCCCCTTTCCTAAAGTGCACACTTACTGGCTTCTTTTTTTCTTATAGTCAAAAGAGCTGCAGATGAAGTTTTAGCAGAAGCAAAGAAACCACGAATTGAGGTAATAGAACTCCTATTTTTAAAGTAATTTGTTTTGTACTGAATTTGGAATTGTGTAGAAATAAGGATTCTTCATAGACTGGGTGGTGGCACACGCCTTTAATCCTAGCACTTGAGACACAGAGGCAGGTGGCCAGCCTGGTCTACACATAGAGTTCCAGGACATGCCAGGGTTACACAGAGAAACCCTGTCTTGAAAAACAAAAACCCAAACCAAAATTCTTCATAGTAATTCTAGCAGCTTTTCTTCCACTGAGAAATAGATCAATAGGTGACTTGTGTTACTGCATTAAGCTCTGTGGTGGATACGCCATTTTTTTCTTTGCTGTTCTTTGCCTTATTTGATGAAAACAATGTCCTAGACCTAGGGTAAGAAACTATTATTTTAGGTTTTCAGGGCCCTGCAGTCTTGATTGCTGCGCCGCCATCTTGGTGTTCCTCCATCTTTCTATTCTCTGTTACTGTAGTGGGGAAACATGCGTAAATCACACATAAATTGATAGATGTGGCTGTTTTAATAAAACTGTAAGATGGTGGGAGTCAGAATTGGTTCTCTGACTTCTAGAATAAAGTAGTTTGGGGATATGCTTTACTTTTCAGAGTTGTAAAATGTGAAGTACTTAACTGTTAATTCAGCAAAATATTGACACAGATTCTAGGTTTCTAGTGTTTTAGTGAGCACAAATGGATTAGGATAGTGTGTTAGTAATTTTTGTCACTGTGACAAATTCCCAAGGGAAACTGTGTAAAGAAAGGTTTGCTTTGGCTCCTGATTTCAGCCCGTGGTTGCCTGGCCGCACTGTCTTTGGACCTATGCTAGAAGGCATATGGCATAAGAGCATGGTGGACGGAAATCGCCCACCATGTTTCTCTAACTGCAAAGAGAAACAGAGAAGGAAGGTGTGGAACAAGATTAACATTTCAGAGCACACCCTGTGCTCCTTTCGGTCAGGCCCCATTCCTAAGGGTCCCTGGAGCTGTGGGTTCACAGCGCATTAGAGCTGTACAGTAGGACCCTTAGACTCCAACTGCCTCTCCAAAGCCCGTTAGACAGCAGCCATCTCCATCATACCCGAGTCTTTTGAAGTTAGTTTTAGATTCTCACCATAACATTTATTGGAAATAGAGAACAAATAAAATTACTTTTAGAGAGTATCTACTGTATAATGGTTTTAACTAATTATATTGTGTTTTGAAAATAGCTAAGGAAGATGTGATCTCAGCACCAAAAAGTGACAATGTAAAGTAATACCAAAGTTAACTAGATGGAGCCATGCCATAGTTTATGTATATTTCAGAAGATAATATTACTCATGATGTGTACTTTTGGACAGTTAAAAAATTGCTATTACCATTAGTAGACCAGTTAGTATTCTGAGTAAGATATCCTCAGGATACATATTAATGACTTACATAAATTTGTAGCAAGCTCCATATTGTATGCATAGAAAACCTCTGGACATAGAGAACAATTTACTAGAAACTTAAAATCTAGCAAATATTTAAATAGATCATGTATCAGTTTATAGTAAAGAATTAGCACTTGTCTTCTTCACAAGTGTTAACAATACTAGAAACCATATATCTTTTTATTTTAGAATATACATACATTCTTTAAATTATTTTCTGCTATGTAAATGGCCAAGCATCTACTAGTAAGGATGAAGAATGTGACTAGGATAACGTTGGTCGGCAAGTGTATACAGTGGAGTCATTAACAATCTGATCTAAAACAGTATAATTTTAGTTATTTCTGAGACAGGAACCTCATACTTTTTAAGTACTGATAGCTAATCCTTTGTTACCGTTCTATACAAGATGATACTTTAAATGCATTAGGTATATTAAGTAATGTACTCTTTACTACCATCCTTTGAATTTGGTAGCCCTAGACTCAATATCAGTGAGTAGATAGGTTCCACACTAAAGTGACTTACTGAGATTTTGTAGAACCAAAATTAGAACCAAGGCAGTCTGGCTGCTATAATGTGTGTGAATTTTGTGGCAGTAAAACTGAAAGTTTCTCCATTTCCTCCTGGATGCAAGAAAACTCTGCCACTATTAAAACAGTGAGTGCATTTAGAGTCCTCATTTACTTGGAAATATGAAAGCATCACAATGTAATTATTTGAAAAAAAATTCAACACCCGAGAAAGCTAAATGCCAAAGCTATCAGTAACTTGAAACATCTACAGGAAGGAGCATTATATTTTCTCTGTTTGTCATATATAAGCTACAAATAAATATTTGTATTAGTAGGTAGTTCAACAAATTGAATTTTTTTAAGACACCATGGGAGGCAAAAGAAAACTTGGTCAGGATTTCTGATTTGATTAAAACTAGTTTGTATTTCTAAAATTACTAGTTTCTTGAGGACCCTGACCATCATGGATATAACTTCCTTACAAATGATAAAAATTAAATGCATTTGTTAAAATATCTTTGCTGTGTCTCTTTTCACATGTTTACATGGTAGAAAACTAGTAGAGCGTGGATTGGAGCCTAAAATTATTTCTCCTTTGATGTCTTAAGTATGATAATGTGTTGTGTATAGTTTCATACAGTCTTACTCATTGACCTGTTCCTTGTTTTTTATTTGTTGAATATAAACTTTGACCTAGATAGGTGTCACTTCATTGGGTTTTTTCTTAATCAGCCACATATCTTTCAAACTAAATTTCACATGGCTTTCTAATATAAGTTAGAAATCATATTGCCCAGGTTGACCTCAAGCTCACAGTTGTAGCCAATATTGTCTTTAAACTCTTGATGCTTCTGCCTCAGCCCCCTTACTGCTGGGATTATAGGCATGAACTACTCACCCTTGCTAGATAAGATTTTGAAATAGTCTATTGGGAACTTTGTAGGAAGATTTTAATGTGCCGAGGAACTTGTCTTTTGAAAGCTATTCAAGTTTTTCTTCTAGTGTTTGGACTTGTATTTGGTAGAGTTTGGGATTTAAAAAAAAATTGGTATCCAAAATGAAAAATTTAACTTTGATGAAGACTTCCTTTAAAAGCTAGATTTTTTTTTTTTAAATTAAGAATGGATCTAGGGCTGGAGAGATGGCGCAGTGGTTAAGAGCACTGACTGCTCTTCCAGAGGTCTAAGTTCAATTCCCAGCAACCACATGGTGGCTCACAACCATCTATAATGAGATCTGATGCCCTCTTCTGGCCTGTAGGGATGTGTGCAGGCAGAACACTGTATACGTAATAAATAAATCTTTTTTTTTTTTTAAAGAATAATGGCTCTATTAGGGGCTGGAGGGATGGCTCAGCAGTTAAGAACAAGTGCAGAAGACCTAAGTTCAGTTCCCAGCATCCACTAGTGGATTCACAACTGTCCATAATTCCATCTCTTCTGCAGGCACCACGCATACACATAGTGCACATGTAGACAGAACACTCAGTACACAGAAATCAATTTAAAAACATTTTTAAATGAATGAAATTATTATTATTATTATTATTATTATTATTATTATTATTATTATTATTATTTTGAATGAAAGTAGTAGTGGTTGGGAGAGCACCTGGAAATAGATGTCTGGGCACCGTAATGTAAACTTACAGATGGTTTCCGGTGATTTTTTTTTTTTTTTTTAAAGCTTTTTGATGAAGCAAAAGCAACACATATGTTTAGACAGATTTATTTTACTTTCGGTACAATTTTCAATAAAATGTGAGATGTCCACGTTATATGGAGGCTAGTGGATATGTTCAAGTAAACAACACTAAGCTATGATATTTTGTAGGTAGATGTGTAAAACACATTTCTAGCTTATTATGTTTTAAATTTACTGTGGTATCTTAATTTGGTATACTATTGCTGTGATGAAACATTGTAACCAAAAGCAGTTGGGGAGGAACAGGTTTTTTTTGGCTTTCACTTCCACATCCATAGTCCATCACTGAGGGAAATAGGCCAGGAACTCAAACAGGGTAGTAACCTGGAGGCAGGAGCTGATGCAGAGCCCCTGGAGGGTGTTGCTTACTGGCTTGCTCAGCCTGCTTTCTTATAGAACCCATTACCACCTGCCCAGGATTGGCCCTACTCATAGTGATCTGGGCCTTCCCACATCAATCGCTAATTAAGACAATGCTCTTCAGGCTTGTCTACAGCCCAATCATATGGAGGCATTTTCTCATTTGGGGTTCCCTCCTCTTAGATGACTCAAGCCTGTGTCAAATTGACATAAAACTAACCATCACATGTGGTTTCTTAGAACGTAGCCCTGTTGTAAGTCAAGGAACCTCAAAAATCAGTTCCAGACTCACATGATCCAAATACACTGTTGTCTTTGTGAAAGTAAAAGGTCTTAAAGTTGATTTAAGTACAATATTACATGGAACTGTACTCTGGTAATCTTGGCAAGAAGCTGTGTGTAGTGATTTGTTCATGTAAAAGTTAAATAAAACTTAAAATGTTACTAACCAGTGATTATTTTTAGGATGAAGAGTGTGTGCGTCTTGACAAAGAGAGATTGGCAGCTCGTTTGGAAGGCCATAAAGAAGGGATTGTACAGACTGAACAGATTAGGTAAGGTTTTCTTCAGTAGGTAGTACAGATTTTATGTAAAGGTATGTGGAAAATGGGGGTGGTTAGATGTTACAATTTACATTTGCATTTTTTATTCATTGTATTCCCCTGTTCTCTAAGTTTGGAAGAATGCAGTTGTCCCTTGGAATCTATTGTGGTTGGTCTAGGATCTCTCCATAGTTATTAATACCCAGAGGTGCTCAAGTCCCGTGAAAAAATGGCATGGATTTGTTTATAACCTGTACTGTAAGAACCTACTCTAGATTACTTACTGTGTTAAAATTTTTCACCAGTATGTCAAATACGAGAACAGACATAGAAGAGAATATTTATTTTTGTTCACTTTCAGTTTAGAGTTCTATGGTTCTAACCCTGGACCTATGTGTGGGAAGACAGAGCATCATTGTATAGAATGGAGTTTGTAGTAGAAAGCATTGTTTCTCACCTCATGGCACATAGGAGAAATGTGGGGGGTGGGAGGCAGAGGGTGGAGTGTGTGTATGGAAACTAGAAGGACCAGGGAAATGATAGTCACAAGGATTTAACCCCAGTGAACCACTTCTCTGCTAAGTCTAATCTCTTAAAATTTTCAGAAACTCCCAAAATAGCACCATCAGTTGGGGACCATGCCTTTAACACATCGCCTATTCAAACACTAATATATCTGTGGTTCCCAAAGACTCATGTCTGTCTCATAATGCAAAATGTATTTAGTCCGTCTTTGATAGTTCCTGAAAAATCAACAGTTCCAGATTTTTTCAGAGGGTGCAGCTTAAAGTCCTGAAGTAGAAATCTCTTAGCTATGAGTCTCTATAAATTTTACTAACGCCAAGAGATGATGGTGCAGACTTTTAATCCTGGCACTCCGGACTCAGAAGCAGGCTCTTCTCTGTGAGTTCAAGGCCATCCTAGTCTACAGAGTGAATTTCTGGGACAGCCGTGACTATACAGAGAAACCCTGTGTCAAAAAAACAAAAATGGAAACAACAACAATAAAACCAGTCCTTTGGGGCTGGAGAGATGGCTCAGCAAATAAGAGCACTCACTGACTGCTCTTCCAGAGGTCTTGAGTTCAATTCCCAGCAACCACATGGTGGCTCACAACCATCTATAGTAGATTTTGATGCCCTCTTCTCGAATAATGCCGTACATGCAGATAGAGCACTCATATACATAAAATAAATCATCATTTAAAAAATTTTTAGTAACAAGTTTCATATTTTCAGCATACAACAGTGTAGAATAAATATTATTATTACAGAATGGAGAGATGAAGCATGGAGAGGAGTGGGACCAAGTAAAGCCTGCAATCTAGAGGACAAATGTCAAGTCCTGTAAATTCATTTCCACCATCAGTGGCATATGAGGTGATAATATGATATGTGTACTCCAGTGGGCTTGGAAAGCCCCATCCCTATGGCTTGACTTATTACAGTCCACATAACTTCTCGCTCAGGCCGGCTCTACTCTTTGCCTCTAAGTTATTGTGGCAGATGTTCCATGCCTATATTGTGTTTCTAGGTTTATTCACATAGCTTCATGCATTGTCTCAGGCCCTGCCAACCATTTGTCTGGCCTCTTAGGTCTTCCTTTAAAATCTGAGTGGAAACTCCCATGACTAGTTCCCAAAGCTTCTGAATGGAATAGTCAGGTGATCACCCTGTCTACCAGTTTTCTCTGTTAGACTGTTAGTGATAACTAACTGAGAAATGTAAAAGAGGAAGATCTATTTTCTCTCATGGTGTCAGGTTATAGTTGATGGTTATATAACCCAGTTGCTTTTGAACTTAAGTGTCTGTAAGCATCTGGTGAGGAAGGAGCAGTGTGACTTATACACATGAGCACTGACCAGCCCACACAGCTGTTTCCTGGTTTCTTTCTCTTGGGGGCATCTCTTTCCTGACCCACAATTTGACTATGGACTTGTGACATTCTAACTCTCCAGGAATTTCTAATTACTCAGCCAGCCAGTCTTGTAGAATCTTCACCATAGGCATGACTTTCTTTCTTTTTTTTCCCCCTGGGGACTTTACATTAAACAAAGATTGATTACAGTAATTATTCTCACTTACTTTAGAGGCAATATTGTTTTAAGGAGACTTCCTAATGTCTCATGTATATTTTTGGGTGATGGGAACATCAGCCTTGTATTACCGACTTAAACTTATTGGGTAGTGGTTGTTTCCAGGTTTAGGTAGTTCCTTTGTTAAACCCACGTGTTAGCATTCTGCTGCAGTACCCCCTGTTCAGCACTTTTCTTAACCATTCTGTACCATGTAAACACATTGGTCTTGATTAAGTTCTGCCTGGGTTCTTCTTAGGACCTACTTTGGAAGTTTTCAAGGCAGTAAGCCAGTGAAGTTACAGGAGTTAGTTCATTCAACTACAGGGAGTTCCTCAAACAAACACATTAGCACTTAAAAAAAAAAATCACAGTATTTAATCTGCACCCATGGTTTTCACTGTATATTAATTAAGATTTGAGCAGGAAAGTAGGGTGCAGGAGGGACCTTGTTAGAGAATCACTGCCATTTAGTGTTTAATTCCTAATACCTGGTAAACCATTATGTTGTGAAGTTCAGCTAGTCATTTTCTGGTTGTTGAGAGCTATTCCAGTCACTGGCACTTCATCTCAGCTAGAAATAGAAGTCTGATCATTGAAAGTCCAGTGTCAGCTTGAGAGCCATCCAGATTGCTCATTGGTAAAGACCATGCTGCCAAGCTCAACCAGTGACCTGACTTTCATACCCATATCCATACCCGCATGGTGGGAAGAGAGAACCTACTCCTGCAACTTGTCCTCTGGTTCTCACACTTTGTGGTGCATGTTTGTGTACACACCAAAACAAATGCAATTAAAAACAATTTGAATTTATCTAAAAATATGCTGAGATGCTTTAATTTCACAGCTAGAAATCAGTACAAAGTAGAAGGAGAAAAAGGTAGAAAATAAATTACCTTTGGTAATTCATTTATAGTACCCTGTTACATTATAAATCAAATGAAAGGACAGGACTTCTGTGAACTGTACTAACCTGTCTTTTGTAGGTAGACTACAGAGAGTTCCTCAAACACACACATTAGCACTTAAAAAAAAATCACAGTATTTAATCTGCACCCATGGTTTTCACTGTATACTAATTAAGATTTGAGCAGGAAAGCAGGGTGCAGGAGGGACCTTGTTTGGAATTTCTTTGGAAATGTTTGTGCCCATTACAATGATACTGGAGCCACATTCCCTCCAAACTGATGAGCCAGAACGTAATTATTGAGTTGGGATGTCATTTTTTTTTTTTTGAGACAGGGTTTCTCTGTGTAGCTTTGCACCTTTCCTGGAACTCACTTGGTAGTCCAGGCTGGCCTCGAACTCACAGAGATCCGCCTGCCTCTGCCTCCCCAGTGCTGGGATTAAAGGCGTGCGCCACCACCGCCCGGCGGGATGTCATTTTTTAAAAATATTTTGTACCATCCTTGTTTGGACACCATGCTGACAGTTTCGGATGGCAGACTAGCATATGTTCTTTCCTTATATCTTTAGCTGTTGCTGCAAGGCCTTGACTCTTGCCTGTGCTGGTGGAGTTCCCTTGACCCACTGGGTTGCTGGCCCAGCTCTGTTTTTTATAGTCTTTGTTAAATATAGGGCTTCATGCATGCTAGGTTAAGACTGTACCACTGAACTATATTACCAGCCCTCAACCACTGTTGAATTACTTTTCGAATTTTATATTATAAAAAACATAAAACATTTTCAGTGCAAACCATAATGGGTGGTTTCCACATGTGGTCCCATAAAGGGATGTTCCCTTATTGGGAGACCAGAATTTTTTTTTTTTTTTTTTTGGTTTTTCGAGACAGGGTTTCTCTGTGTAGCTTTGCGCCTCTCCTGGAACTCACTCGGTAGCCCAGACTGGCCTCGAACTCACAGAGATCCGCCTGGCTCTGCCTCCCGAGTGCTGGGATTAAAGGCGTGCGCCACCACCGCCCGGCGGGAGACCAGAATTTTAAAATACGTTTTTCATTGAGTCTTCTTTTTTTTTTTTGTACTTTGTAAGTACTACTGAACTTAACGTATTTTATTCTTTTTTTCCCCCCCCTGGAGCTGAGACCAAACCCAGGGCCTTGCGCTTGCCTAAGCACTCTACCACTGAGCTAAATCCCCAACCCCACATATTTTATTCTTTAGACAGTTTTTGCTGTTCATATTAGAGAGTTGTTATGAAGACTGTTACGAGTATATTTAAAACAACATAGTTTTGAAAACTGAGAATTCCTGATTTTTTTTCAATCAAATTTTAGGTTGGTTTAGTTTATTTTTTATGTGTAAGAATATTTTGCCTACACGTATGTCTGTGTACCATGTGCCTGGTGATGACAGAGGTCAGAAGAAGGCATCGTGATTCCCTGGAACTGGAGTTATGGATGGTTGTGAGCCACCATTTGGGTCCTGGGAACTGAACCCTGGTCCTCTACAGGAACAGCCAGTGCTTTTAACTTCTGAGCCATCTCGCTAGCCCCTGGAATACTGATTTATTGCCCCTGAATCTCAAAGAGAAATACGCCAGGAAATTGAAAGCACTGAGAAATTTACTTTTCTTTTTTTCATTGCATACTAAAATTTTTATTTGTGGCATTGTTGATGAATAATTTTTTTTTAAATAAAAAGACTGCTTTTTGCTTATTTGAGAATCAAGTAAATTGAAGACAAGAGTTCAAAGTATGTTTATTTCAGTATTTTTTTGTAAGTTCTTTATAATGAAGTTTTAATTAAATTAGGTATGGTTTTGTCTTCCAGAAATTAAAAGGATTATTGTGGCATATAAAGTCTCTTTGGATTCTGAAGTCAGTTGTATATGAAGCCTGTAGCTTTAAAACCTTAAAATACATTTCATGGAAACACCTAAGCTTTGAGCTTTTTAATAGAATGACTTTTTGACCCCTTTACAGGATGACCTCTGTGCTTGTGTATAATTTTCATATGTAGAGAGTATAGATACACTGACCGGTAAAGCCTCAGGGAATACAAGCAAAAGCACCTGTGTTAGTTCTGCTTTTTTGTGGGAGATTTGAAAAGAGCAAAGAATTTTATTATTGTTATTTAATTTTTTAATGTTAATTTAAAGAAATTACTAATTCAAGGCTGGATTGTTCAGTGGTTAAGAGCACTGGCCATTCTTCCAGAGGACCCTGATTTGGTTCTCAGCGCCCTCAAGATGGTCTACAACTGATTGTAGCTTCAGTTTCAGGGAATTTGATGCCCTCTTTTGGCTTTCCTGGGCACCAGGCATAGAAATGACACATAGACCTACATGTAGGCAGAACACTTATACTCATAAAACTAAAATTAAAATAATTACTAACTTGCTTTTCGAGTATTATCTTTATGAATTATTACTTGTAAAAATCCTGTGTGACTATAAAATATTAAGTACACAATTTTATAGAAAAGCTTATTGTCACTTGAAGTGGGTGTTTTTTTTAAATTATCAATTTTAGTGCAACAGTATATATGTTGTACTGAAGGAATCTTAGCTGTGAAATTTAAAAAATAAATTACTTTTAGGTCTTTGTCTGAAGCTATGTCAGTGGAAAAAATTGCTGCAATCAAAGCCAAAATTATGGCTAAGAAAAGATCTACTATCAAGACTGATCTAGATGATGATATAACTGCCCTTAAACAGAGGAGTTTCGTGGATGCTGAGGTTGATGTGACCAGAGATATTGTCAGCAGAGAAAGAGTGTGGAGAACAAGAACAACCATCTTACAGAGCACAGGAAAGGTAATTAAAATATTTACTCTTTCTTTGGAGTGCTGTAGGATTGTTTAAAATTTACTAATAGGTTTTAAATTTTATTTATATTTGTGCAGCCAAGGACTAATTCTTTTCAACTTCTGTTCAGAGCAAATGCATGCTCTTTAAATTTTGAAAGATAAGAGTTTGAGAGTCTGACAATCTGAGGATCAGCCAAACCCATGTGAAGGTGGAAGGAGAGAATGGACTCCACAGTTGTCCTCTCATCTCCATGTATTTGTAGCTCCTGCACATGCTTAGGTGTACACACACACACACACCCATATATACATTAATAAAAAAAATTAATACTAGATGCTCTAGTATGTCAATTGCTCTTAAAAAAGATGGATTAGTTCAGTTTTTGTTTTTGAATGTAAAAACATTTTATGTACAACTGCAGGAGAAATAATACACAGATAACTTGAACATAAAAACAGGTTATAATTCAAAAGTCCAGGGTTATTTGAAATTGAAAAATATTTTCTCTGTAGAAAATAGAAAAAATGATAACATTTCCCAATAAGCCCTTTTAAACCAAATAATAGCCAAATTATACATATAAATATTGATTAGATTCTGGGATACAGAAGAAACCTATCTTCCTCTGTTCAGAGAGCTATGTTTTACTTAAGTTGTGTAAGTGAGATTCCTATTCATCTTCCCCTTCACGGTTTGATTTACAGCAGACGTTTTTCTATAGGCTAATCCATAATCTAAAAAGATTTTAGCCTCCCCTCCTGAAAGTACAGCCAGCATATTCTTTCATCAGCTTGATACAGTACAAATTCTTATCCTAATAGTGAAATGTTTCACTAAAGCTTGCCCAGTGATTGAGCAAAACCAAAACTTATTATAAGCCACAGTCATCCTAGGGTCTTCCCTGCTAGGTAGCCTCCGTGGATCTGTGGGTTGCAGTCTGATTGTCCTTTGCTTTATATCTAGTATCTACTTATGAGTGAGTACATACCATGTTTGTCCTTCTGAGTCTGGGTTACCTCACTCAGGATGATATTTTCCAGATTTCATTGTTTTTCTGCTTCAATTCAGTTCTATGTGCACATTTTCCTCTGTGTTGTGAGCTTTCCTCTAAACTTTCTTAGTTGTCGATTCTCCATTGAGAATCGCTAACAGTGGTGGTTTGGTAGAAACATTTAAAGAAGTGTGTGAGATTATTGTGAAACTGAACTTCACATTGAAATAGACTTTATGGGCCGGGCGGTGGTGGCGCACGCCTTTAATCCCAGCACTTGGGAGGCAGAGCCAGGCGGATTTCTGTGAGTTCGAGGCCAGCCTGGGCTACCAAGTGAGTTCCAGGAAAGGCACAAAGCTACTCAGAGAAACCCTGTCTCAAAAAAACAAAAAAAAACAAAACAAACAAACAAACAAAAAAAGAAATAGACTTTATGTTTTGAGACTCTCTGGGCTTTCTGAGGTTAGGGTTTTTCTTAGTGCCTTAGGCCTGCATTCACCTAAGTGCTAGGAGTACAGCTATGTGCCACCTGCCCCGACTAGTTTTGATTGTAGAATAATATTGGGGCTTGAGCTTTTAATTTACTGTCCCATTTTGGTAGGAATAAAGTAACTAGAAAAGGGTATAAGAAATAATGATTTATGTTTATTTTCTATTTGACTTGTCTTACATTTTAAGAAGCATTTTCCATGGGCACGCAGGTGGCTCAGCTGGTAAAGGCCCTTGTTTTGCAAGCCTGGCAACCCGAGTTCAGTCTCCAGAAGCCATGTAAAGGTGAAAAGAAAAACCTAATTCCACAAAGTTGTCCTCTGACTTCCACACAGGGTGTGGCATGTCCCCTCATTCCTATCATGCATGTGTGTATGCACGCACAATAATAATAAGTAAAGTTGATTAAATTTAGAAAAAAGAAACCATTTTTCTAGAGCCAGTGAGATTGTCCTGGAGTAACGGTGCTACCCATGCAAGCCTGGTAACCTGCACTTGATCCCTCAATCCTTTGTAAAGATGAAAGGAGAAAACTGACTCCACTGTGTTTCTCTCTTATTTCTGCACTTGCACTGTGGTACATATGTCCACATCCACGTATTTAAAAAATAGAAAGGACCGTTTCCAGAGCTTAGAATTAGAAAGAAATGTGAGGTTATGAATAAACTTTCATTTTTCATTTTTTGTTACAGTTAAACGACAACATTCTCATTTTCATTGCTTGATATGGCTAATACTTGACTAACACTGTGACTTTTTAGTGCCTTTTTTATTTTGTTTTGAGAGGGGAGTCTAACTGAGTAGCCTTGGCTGTCCTGGCACTCACTGTGTAGATCAGGCAGTCTTTGAACTCACAGGGATCCACTTGCCTTTGCCTCCCAAGTGCTAGGATTAAAAGCGTGTGCTACTATGCCTGCCCCCCCCCCTCCTTTTTAAGTTAATTTTAACTAGATAGTCTTTAACTTAGAGTTTTCTTCTATGTGAAGCTTTCCCATTTTAAGTTGTTGAGATGAACTCTTCTCTCTGAACTCTAGGGGGCAGAATTGTACAAGTTTAAAAGTGTTCTAATTTAATGTTGGTACCACAGTATCTTTTTAAAACAAACCATCTAACAACTGTTTAGAAGCTAGATTTGCTTTCATGAGTATTATCTTTAAAAAATTTTATTTTTGAATGTTGTCATTTTTAAAGGTCAAAATTAAACATTTTGACTGCTGATCTCTAGGTATACATACTGTGTTCATCTGCTAAACAGATACTTAGAGCAGAGCAGTATAGACTTCACATTTGCTTTGTGTGTGTGTGTGTGTGTGTGTGTGTGTATGGGTATGTGTGTGTGGGTGTGTGTGTGTATGGGTATGTGTGTGTGGGTGTGTGTGTGGGTGTGGACACATTTGTCACAGTGTGCATGAGGAAGTCAGAAGACACCGTGTGAGAGTCAGTTCTTTCCTTGCACTGTGTGGGTTCCTGGGATTGAGCTCAGGTTGTCAGGCTACAGCCCTGGCCTAGTGTAGACTTTACACTGACCTTCATTACTGCTGTGATCAGAATCTTGTTTTCTGATTCTTAAGGGGCAAGAAAATTCAAGTTCTCCTCCTCTTTATATAGTTAATATGCCCTGGTTAAAGCAACCTGATTTTATAGTATCGTTAAATTATATTAAATGTCTTACTCTGTTTTGTGCTGCTATAACAGAATATCACAGACTAACTTATAACAAACAAATTTCTGTGCCATTAAATTATTATGACTTATTCTGTTTTGTGCTGCTATAACAGAGTATCACAGACTGAGTAATTTATAATGAATAGACATTTCTGTGGTTCACCATTCTAGAGGCTGGAAAGTCCAAGATCAAGGAACTGCATCTGATGAGGGCTTTCTTACTGCATCAAAAATGGCGGAAGGTATCACCTGGGTGAGAGAGAGGGAATAAAAAAAGAGGGCTGAAAATAATTATGATTTTATCAGAAAATGACTCTTAAAATCTCTACGTCATTCATTTAGTCTCCACTTAATCCATTTTCAAAGTCACTTTTTAAAAATAAATTTTCTAACACATAGATTTGGGGGATTTTTTCAGACCAAAGTAATTTATTGTTGAATCATGGTATAATAAATACATCTGTACAAAAATAATCATCTGTAATTCTTGCACACAAAACTTGCTGATGCTATTTGCATTCATTCTTCTAGAGTTTGTTTTTCATTTATTTGATCACTTTAACAGCGGTCTGATTTTCATGTTTTCATAGTAGGGCTGAGATTTCATTGGCATTTGGCACTGTGCTGATGTCTGCATTGATGGTGCAGGAGCAGTGACTGCTAAATTCACCGCATGGGTTAGTCACCCAGCATGACCAGCAAGTCACGGTGTTTCACCTACCAGAACTTCACTCAAGTGTGGCCGCTTAATACATACACTTCATGAAGTTGAATGTGTAAAAGCGGCCCTGCGTGTTAAAAAAGCTGTGGTTGATATTATGAATAGCATTTCTGTTAAGGCTTGGGTTCCTAACTAAAGCACCTTTTAAAAAAAGAAAACCATCACATTTTGTTTGAATAACTGTTATTCAGACTTAGGTGTTTTATAGACATTCTCTTGAACGAGTCTGTCAGGAAAAGCAACAAACTATTTGTTGCCAGTGGTAAGATGTGAACTTTCCTGGGAAAATTAAAATTTTGGAGAGTTTCTTTCTGCTGTGATTTTTCCAGCTTTCTAATTCTTAGACTGTTTTGATAAGATTTTTGTAAATTATATTAAAAATATGATTTAATGAATATGTCATCAGCAAATAACATTTTAAAATGTTGAATAATATACTGTATTAATATTTGGAAAATATGCATAACTGCATAACTCAGTGATATTTTTCAGAGAACCAATGCATGAATGAAAAAATATCCATTTAAAATACAAAATAGATTATATACTTTAAAAAGTATATTTATACTTTATATACTATATACTTGACAGCAGAAATGCAGAATATTTATGGATGTGGTTTCCATCTTCAGTATCTTTTAGGAGACCATTTGTTTTGGTATAACAAAGGAGAATATATTCAGCTACCTGAAAAGCTGTCTTAATGCTTCTCCCTTTACTGCTGAGGCTAGATTGTCTTCATATCTTGACCAAACAGGATAACATAGTAGATATATAGAAGTAAATATCAGAATACAGATGCATTTTTAGTAAGCCAGATAGTAAACACATTTATAAAATTTCAAGTTATAGTCTTATTACTTTTTTGATAGGTTTTGGAAAATAATTTTCATAAAACGTATTATGGTTGTGTGGAATCTTGCTTTTCTTATTTTTTTTTTTAAAGGAATTCCTACTTGAGAAATTTGTCAGTTTTAATATTTACTGTGATAAATTGTACCTTCAGCTTAAAGGCCTTTAGAGTCTTTAGTAGTTTCTAAGATGGCAAAGTAGTTCTGAGACCTGTATTTACTGCTATAAAGATTCAGGAACTAGTTAGTATCATAGTTAGTATAGTGGTAATTATACTAGTGGTATCCAGTTAATGTTAAAACTTACTTTTCTGTATACATTTGTATAATATTTAACATGTACAGGCTAGGCAGTGATTGAGATGATAGTTTAATACAAGCAGCAATGAGATGCAATATAAGTAAAGAGGTAAAAGAATATCTTTTCATAGTAGTCCAGTACTTGAAAGCCATGAGGCTGAGTAGTCCAGTGTGTGGAGACCACGAGCCTCACCAGGAAAAAACAAACCAGGAACAAAGGTGAGGGGGATTACAGAGTAAAAACTAGGAGGGAGATTAGAGTAAAAACTAGGAGGGGGATTAGAGTAAAAACTAGGAGGGGATTACAGAGTAAAAACTAGGAGGGGGATTACAGAGTAAAAACTAGGAGGGGATAACAGAGTAAAAACTAGTAAAGTAGGTGGAGTGATAAAGTGGGACAAGTAGTGGAAGCCAAAGAAACAGAACACTTAAATTTCTTTTCTTTTTCTTTAAAAAGACTTATTTTTATTCTATGTGTGTGAGTGTTTTGCTTTCATGTATGTTAGTGTACTGTTCACATGCCTGGTGTCCATGGTGACCAGAACAGGATGTCACATTTCCTGGAACTGGAGTTATGGATGGTTGTAAGCTGCCTTGTGGGTCCTGGGAAGTGAACCCGGGTCGCCTGGGAGAGCAACAAGTACTCTTAACTGAGCTAGCCCCCAGATTTCTTTTTTAAAAATAACTCTGTGCTTGCGTGCGTGCGTGCGTGCGTGCGTGCGTGCGTGCGTGCGTGTGAGTGAGTGAGTGAGTGAGTGAGTGCGTGCCCACGCTGTGGTGCAAATGGGGAGGCTCAAGGGTAATATTGTGGAGTTGGTTCTCTTTTTTCTACCTTTATATGAGTTTCAAGGATTGAACTCAGGGAGATAGGCTTGTGTTACAGGTGCTTTACCTGTTAGTTACCTTGCTGGCCCCAGAATGCTTCATTTTCGTTTGTTTGTTTGTTTGTTTTCGAGACAAGGTTTCTCTGTGTAGTTTTGGCGCCTGTCCTGGATATCACTCTGTAAAACCAGGCTGGCCTTGAACTCACAGAGATCCTCCTGGCTCTGCTTCCTGAGTGCTGGGATTAAAGGCGTGTGCCGCCACCCACCACCGAATGCTTCATTTTCTAGAGAAGAGAATTGTATTACATTTGAAGTACAAGAGAGCATGAACCATTTGATCTTCGTTGGATTTTAGTGTCAGTTAAGACATTTAGCTCACAATAGATTCGCATATATTCTTTAAACTGTTGAATGCTAGCGCGGGGGGTGGGGGAGTGGGTGAGTGGGGGTAGGGTGGAGATGGGTGATTGGGAGCGATAGGGGTTGGGGAAGAGACCCAAAGTATTGTTAGTCACTGGGGGACAATGTTAGTCATTAGACAAAAAAGTCAGGGGAGAATAATGTGTCAGGGCCAAGAAAGCTTATTTCATGAAGGAAGGTGTAATCACCTAGTCAACAGTGTTGGGTGGATAGTCATGGAAAAGCTGATTTGTGATTACTTCCCACCTTTTCAGACTTAAAAGTTACACAGTGACTCCTAAGTATCCATAACCTTTGGGCATCGTAGAACGTCTGCTGTAATCTGAATGTAGCACAGGGATTTATTGTACTTTGAGAATGTAGTATTCCCCTTTTATAGAAATCTGTTACATTTAAATGTTTACTTTTTTCTTGGTTATATTTGAGTAGATACAGAATAATAAAAATTATAAATAATTGGTCTGTTTAAGTATGATTTGCAATAACCAGGTAGTTGGCTTTTATTTTTATGTATAATTGTGTACCTTGTTTTTTGTTGATTCGATGAAATTCCTAAGGTAGGGGCTTCATAGAAGGTTAGGGCTGGGGACATAGGCTAGTGTAGAATACTTGCTTGACTATGTGAGGGCCTAACATCAGGGGTGAGGAGAAAAGATACTTATTTAGCTCAAGTTTTGGAGACTGAAAGTGGAAGATTGGACAGCTCCACCACCTGTTGGTATGTGATGTGGTAACAGCTCAAGACCAGCATCAACCCCTTGTGATAGCAGTGCCCAGATAGCTAATTGTTCCTCATTGGGCCCCATAGGAATGTTTGGGAGACAGATCACATCCAAACCATAGCAATTATAGTACTTTATGAAATAGGAAAAATTAGTAGGAAGAAAGTTTCAATATAAATTGCTTAATGGATAAACTATTGCTCTTGCACATGTACGCTGGGTTTAATTAGAATCTATTCATGTTTTAGAATTTTTCCAAGAATATTTTTGCAATTCTTCAGTCTGTAAAAGCCAGAGAAGAAGGGCGTGCCCCTGAACAGCGGCCTGCTCCAAATACAGCTCCTGTGGTGAGAATCTTTTCTGCTTTTGTTATTTTAAGAAAGTGATGTTTATTTTGCATTTTAGTGTTATAATTTTGACATCTTAAACATTTTACGTTAGGAGGGTATAAAGTTTTGCTACTTCAGCATACTCGAAGGATATAAAGACCCTCCCCTGTTTTAAAAGTTATCTTAGCAGTAATTTTGGGTCATTCTTAAGATATACCTGGGTGAGAGTCTGAAAAGGAGTTAATTAGGAAAAGCCTTCTAAGTTAACTTTTAGGTTGACTATAGCTGGCCTATTTATTGCTTGGGAAAATTTTTTTTTTTTTTTTTTTTTGGTTTTTTGAGACAGGGTTTCTCTGTGTAGCTTTGCACCTTTCCTGGAACTCACTTGGTAGTCCAGGCTGGCCTCGAACTCACAGAGATCCGCCTGGCTCTGCCTCCCGAGTGCTGGGATTAAAGGCGTGCGCCACCACCGCCCGGCGCTTGGGAAAATTTTTAACTATTGTTAAAAATATAAATCATTGTTAGCTTCCAGCTTGGACTTGTTATTTGAAATCTTTGGTGACCATTTCATATGGGTATATTGATTTTCCCTGTCACCCGTCAAATGGACCATTCTTTGTACCTCAGCTGTATCTCCTCTGTTGGTTGACTGCCTCACTGGTGGAGGTATTGTTTAGGACCCTCCAAACCCTAATTCATGCATGCCATATAGTCTCCATTTAAATTCAGAAATACCCTCTAGTTTGTTGTAAATCCTTCTACCTGTTCTCAAGATTCAAGAAAGGCAACGAGTATAATTCAAATTGATTCACTTTTATGTAGAATTTGGAAAAACATTGGTAGAGTACTAAACATAGCCTTGGAAGTTAATAGTAATTTTATTTATACATGAAATCATTGATATTTAATTTTTGCAGATACCGAATTCTTGGTACTATTTAGACAGATACTTTTAGTTGGCTTACCACACATATTTAAGTAGTGTCTATTTTTCATGCAGTGTTCTAAGCATCTAGAGATAAAAATAATACAATGTCATAGTCCTTGTTCTGTTTTGAGTTCGTAGTTAAACCTACTAGATCTATGAAATGGAAATATAGTAAGTGCTATGATGTTCAAGCATAGTGTGCTCATAATTACAAATTTGTTGACACTTGTCATAGTAATTGGTGGGAAGAATGTGAAACTGTAAAAACATTTAAACCATTGTCTTTGTGAATGTGAGTTCTTTCTGTGTATTTTACAATCATTGAAATAGTCACAATTTTTATGTTTGGCATATAGATGTATATATGTAGCTATAGTCTTTGATAATTTTTCTTTTGTAATATTAGACTGTAATCCTATTGTAACAAAATGAAGACTACATAAATATTATGATTTTCCCAAGTACCTTTAAGATGCTTTTTAAATACCTATTTTTAGGTTATTATAGACTGAGTTTAGTATGAAATATTTGAATTAAATTATACATAATTAGAAAGTGACTTTTTTCAAGTTTTTAAAAAACTGACATCTATTACTTTAGTCTTACAGTATACATTTATAAGTGTTTATTGAATGTCTATTACTTTAGTCTTTTTTTTTCTTTTTAGTTTTTCGAGACAGGGTTTCTCTGTGTCACCCTGGCTGTCCTGGAACTTACTCTGTTCAGATTATCATTGGAGAGAGTATTATTTCACAAAGTCATTTAAGTAATTAGAGTGTTTGTGCTTACATATTATTTCTGTGGTTTTGGATACAAGTATACTTGAAATTGTTTGTCCTTATTCTTGCTGTAGGGATGGTCATTTTTTAGTGCAAATAATATTGAATCCTAGTCATCAAATGCCAAGTAGTCTTCTTACCGTGTTCTATCTTCTGGCCCATATTGGAATAACATTTATAAGTGTCTGTGTCAGGTTTTATGAGTGTTAAATAATATTTAAAAATATTGACTTGCATCTCTTTTTTTTTTTTTAATTAAGGATCCCACATTGCGTACGAAGCAACCTATCCCAGCTGCCTACAACAGATATGACCAGGAAAGATTCAAAGGCAAAGAAGGTAAGTTACTTATTCTGTATCTTCTTCTCATAATGGTCATGCTGAGCTGGAGTGGCAGTATAGTTTGATATTGAAGAATAAGATCTAGTTCAGTCACCTACTTTTGTAATAAAAGTTTTTGTTGTTATTTAACAGCCATATTTACTCATTTATATGTGATCTATAGCTGTTTAACTCTGACAGCTTTGTTGAGTAGTTTTGAGAGCGGTCATATAGCCTGCAACACTTAAAAATAGTATTTGGACTCTATAGAACAAAATTGGCTAATTTTGTTGGTAGCTTTGATTCGCCATCCAAATAGCTTGTGTTTCAGTTATTTTTTTAATGTGGATTTTATTGCTTTTTCAACTGTATTCTGTCTGTTACTTCATATCTGTAATTAAATATTAATAATACTTGATAACTTATTTCATAGGGTTACTTTGGGGATAAATGTGGTGCTGAAGGTGAAGTTCCTAGAATAATGTCTGATAATGTAATAAACTATCCACAAATGTTTGCTATTATTGATACTAGTTGTGGTTATAAAGAATTTTGGGATGTGGAATGCCATGTGTTAAATTATTTCCCAAACTATGAATTGTGTACATTAAGGGATAAAGAAGCATAGATTTGGAGCAGGTGTGAGAGTTTGTTTTGTTAAAGCTTGCTTGACAGTCTAGCTAATGCAATTATGAGCCATTTCTTTATTAGTGAGGTGAGACTGTCACCAGTTTCTCTTGAGCTCTTCATTCATCTTGACTTCACTTAGGAAGATATGAGATAAAAGCAACTTAAACTTTTAACGTTTCCTTTTTTCCCCTGTATAATCTGAAGTCTCTGGGCAACTTTTTGAAAGGATATATTGCTTTGATGCAGTGAGTTATGTGTGCTGACTTCTTTTACCAGATATAGGCACATGGTGAAGAGATGCCATACAAAGACAGTGATCCATTCTTTTATTCACTGTCCTGTTTCCTTATGGAATGAATTGTATAAAGCAATTGATAGCAAATCCAATCCTTTAAGGACCAACTCCAGCTTCTCCATGTATATGCATATTATTCATCTTTTTTTCTGCACCACAGCTACAAAATCTTATAGTTGAGACAAAGGTGTATTGTCTGTAGTGTATAAAATACTTGCTATATGATCTTTCCCAAGAAGAATAGAGCATATGATATGAAAAATTTAATTTAATTTTTCAATTAGAAATATTTCTCTGATAGTCACATAACCTAGATGAAATTTAAGCAATGTATGTTTTATTTTAATAACATATGGAATGTTTATATCATTCTTCCACTGGTAAAATACTGTCAAAGTCCCAAATTGACTGCCATTAGTTGATTGACCATAGCAAGAGCCAAAACAGGAATGAATTGCCATGTATTTATAGAATTAAATGTTTATTTTAAAAGAAAGAGAGAGCGAGAAGAGCATGCTGTACTTATGTCTTGGAACTCGAATCTTTTTTTTAAATGTATTTATTAATTGTGTATACAGTGATCTGCCTACACATATGCTTGTAGGTCAGAAGAGGGCACCAGATCTCATTATGGATGGTTTTGAGCCACCATGTGGTTGCTGGGAATTGAACTCAGGACCTCTGGAAGAGCAGCCAGTGCTCTTAACCGCTGAGCCATCTCTCCAGCCCTCGAATCATTTTTTTTTTTTTTTTTTTGGTTTTTCAAGACAGAGTTTCTCTGTGTAGCTTTGCGCCTGTCCTGGATCTTGCTCTGTAGCCCAGGCTGGCCTCGAACTCACAGAGATCCGCCTGCCTCTTCGAATCATTTTTTATAGCACCATTTTCTAATAAATGTCCCTTACATTAAAATTAGGAGCAAAAGTTTTTGTAATTTAGGAACTTTTTATTTTACATGCTTTTAGTGGTGCAGTCATTTAGTAGTTAGTAATAAAAATAAAGGGATTAGAAATTAGAAGTTTTTTATTTAGTATGATTTAAATTTTATTCCATTTTTATGTGTATGGATGTTTTGCCTGTGAGTATGTCTGTGTATCACATATGTACTTGTTGTCCATGAAGCCAGAAGAGGGTATCAGATTCCCCGAAACTGAAGTTTAATGCAGGTGTGGGCAGATTATGTGTGCTGGGAATTGAACCTGGGTCTTTTGCAAGAGTAGCTAGTGCTCTTAACTGCTGATACTTCTCTCTAGCTCTTTAGTGTGATTTTCAAATAAAATTCAAAAGATAATCATAACCAGATTCTATGAACTCAGTGCTTTGACATTTATTGAATTTGAATATGTTTTTGCAACTAATGTCTTAAAAGTTTTTAATTTTTAGAAATAGGTGATAAAACTGTGTATAGTATATTTAAGTAAGGCCTTGTTACACTGTTGAATTAATTGTTAGGTATAATATAAATTATGATAGAAATTTTTATCTGTCTCATGAAATATATAAATCATAATAGACTCCTTTTCTTTGCAGAAACGGAAGGCTTTAAGATTGATACTATGGGCACATACCATGGCATGACACTGAAATCTGTAACGGTAAGTTATTATGAGTGCAGAGGTTTTTTGTTCCAGGTGTTTTATGTGAGTAGCTTTTATTCTCTAGCATTTTCTAATTGAAACATTTATTTTTTAGTGACCATTGTACTGCTGATAGATCTGTGTGATATTCTTTTGGATTCATGAATGATCTGCCCTTTTTTTCTTTCTTTTTTTTTTTTCCAGATCAGATTTTGAATTTATAAGTTTTTCAACTAATTTGAAATGCTGTCATTGAGACGTTTAAAGCCATTGAGTTTATGGTCATATGGGACCAATTTTTTTTTTCTGATATCTTATGTTCTTTCAAATGTAATTGTCTTTGGAAAAGTAAGAATGGGATTGGGCATGTAGCATAGTGGTAGAGCCCTTGCTTAGACTGCTCAGTGGCATGGAGTCAGCCTCCAAATCAGCCAAATGAGTAAAAAGAGTGTGGTAGTTGATGGAGTCATTTGTTTAAGTATGTATGCAAGGTGGATCCTGGCTGAGCCAATTGCACTGTGGATATGTATCTGTGTTTACGAGCTGTTAGAAGGCACTGGACATAGGAGTGTTTCTCTCAAGTAATATTTGCAAAACATGCAAACCTCTGTATCTGGAAAAAATAAAACAGGTTCTTGTTTAAAAAAAAAACCACTTGATGGAACCAAATATTTATATATTCATGAGTATGAGTCTTTGTTTGAGAGACTTCGCCAGTTCATTTTTCTCTTCCTCCCCTTCTTCCCCTCCCTCTTTCTCTTCTCTTGCTCTTTCACTGTCCCTGCCCCCATGCTGTCTTTCTCACTCTTGCTGTGTTCTTTTTAGCTTGGACTTAGAACTCCTGGGCGCCAGGAGTCTTCCTTTCTCAACTGCCGGAGTAACTGAGACTATTGGCTCTCTTTAAATTTTTTTAATATCCTGGCCAACTTCTTTCTGTTTGACACGTCTTGTTATTGTGTAGTAAATGATAGTATTTGATGATACAGGTCAGGTGTACTTTAATTTCATTTTACATTTGTATATTCTGATGCATACCTCTTACACTTTAAAATACTATGCGTATGCATTAAGTGTCTACATACTTAAGACCTAAAAATGTTACTTTTGTCTTTGCTTGTGAGTCATCAGAGATTTACAGACCTCACATGACATGAAATCATGATATATTTGTTGTGATTTCTGAGTTCAGATTTAATCTTTATACTTAGAATTTGCCATAAAAATCTATTGAAGTTTTGACTTTTTTAATTTAAATTGAGACTCTATCAAGTATTTTGCTAATATACTTTTAAATGATCAGATTTGTTTTTATATATTGAAATTGTGTGTAGGCTTATAGATTCATTCAACAGGTATTTATTGAATACTCTTGTCCGGTGTTTGACTCTGAATACCTCCGGTGTACTGCTTCCCAGAGCAGTCAAAGAGGCCTCTCTGAGGTCAGAGTTGAGCAAGTCGTGCCAGAAGAGCATTCCCTGCAGGGACAACAGGCTTAAAAACTGACTCAGTAGACAAATGATAGGGAAGTGTTTCCTATCTAGTGAGCAAGAGCAAAAGTGGGAAAAGACCAGATAGAGGTATCTTATGCCTTTTCTTTGCTTGTTTCTGATTTCAGAATGTAATTAATGGTGGTAAGGTTTAACTTGCTTTGTTTGTTGGTTTATATTTTTAAAAGACATGTGCCATCATGCCTGGCTTGAATTAAATTCTTATGTGATTCAGTTAGTTGATGCTTTCTTGGAGATAGAATTTGTCTGTTGCTGATTCCCAAAGTGAATTGCCAGAGAACTGAAGTTATTCTTCAGTAACCATTAAAAGTTAAGTTTTTTGTTAATGTTTTCTTCTTTCTCATGACTCTGAGTGCCATGGAATTTGTTTTTATTATAAGAGCTTCTATATTTAAAAGGTGAATTTAAATAAGCTTATGCTATATGAATTTAAAGAATAATCACACAAAATAAAATAATCATAAAAAGGATTGCTTAGGAATGCAACAAAAAGACTGAAAGTGGCCAAATGGCTAGTTGGATTATTTCAGTAACTGGTTGGAATCTGCTCCTTCTATATGCTGATTATGTGCTAGAAAGAGAATACACAAGTATTCACAAGAAACACAAGTAATGTTTTTAGATAAGTGTTTATTTTTAGTTATTCCTCAAACTTTTCCTTCCTGTTTAGTATTTTTCCCTTCTCTTTTCTCTTTTGAAATTATCATTTGTGAGCTGCAACAACTTCTTTCCTCATCCTGTTGTTCAGAAAATTTCTCTTGTATTATCAAGACAGGTGAATGTGTATTAAATGTAAAAGGTTTTGTTGACCACAAGAGATTTCCTTGCTTTTATATGTATAATTCATATTTGCTAATGTTCTTAAAATTTTTAATGTGCCTAGTTCATGTAGTTTCTGAAATTAGGATTTATCTACATTAGGATTAATCTTTGTAACTTTTAACTTGAGTATCAGATCTCTTGATACATGACTAAATCAGTACATTAATAATTTTTATACAAAATATTTTTTTCTATATGTATTAGACAAGGCTTGTGTTTTAGTAAGTTACTACAACTTGTATGAATAAAAGTCCTGCAAGTGTTTTGACAATAAAAATCTAAAGTGTTGAGGAGCTAGAGAGATAATTCTGTGGTGAAGAGCACTTGTGGCTCTTCCTGAGGACCCCCAGTTTGGTTCCTACCATTCATGTACAAAAGCTTGCACCTCCAGCTTCAGTGGATCCAAGGACTCTGTGGGCCACACTGCACTCAGGTGCACTTGACTTACACCTTTAATACACAAGTCTGTGTGGGAAATTCTGGTTAACCCTTTCTTTTCCTGAGGTGGGGAATCTCACTTTATTTTTAGTGTATTTTGGTGGTGCTTTTTTTTTTTTTTTTTTTTTTTGGTTTTTTGAAATAGTTTCTCTGTGTAGCTTTGCGCCTTTCCTGGATCTCACTCTGTAGACCAGACTGGCCTCAAACTCACAGAAATCTGCCTGCCTCTGCCTCCCAAGTGCTGGGATTAAAGGCGTGCACCACCACTGCCCGGCTGATGGTGCTTTTTAAAGACAAGGTTTCACTATGTAGCCTTGGCTGACTAAGAATTTGCTATATAGACTAGGATGGCCTCAAACTCAAATTATTCACCTGCCTCTGCTTCCTGAGTGCTGGGATTAAAGGCATGAGGCACATACCCTTAAAGGGATCTCATTTTATAGATCACACTAGCCTTGTATTTCTTGGTCAGGGGATTTCCTACTGTCTCTGCTCCTCACCTAGCTGGAGTTCAGGTACATGTTGCTTCACCTGACTTCTGTTTAACCTTTGACTTAGATAGGTCAAGACATATGTTTGACATTGATGGTTCCAGAGTCGCAAGATACACAGATGTTTTCAGAACTTATCTTAGATGGAACTTCCCCCCAAAATAAGTTTCGAGGATTCATTCTTCCTTGTCTTTTTAAAAAATATCTTCCTTCCTTCCTTCCTTCCTTCCTTCCTTCCTTCCTTCCTTCCTTCCTTCCTCCCTCCCTCCCTCCCTCCCTCCCTTCCTTCCTTCCCTCCCTCCTTCCCTCCTTCCCTCCTTTCTTTTCTTTTCCTTTCTTACTTTTCTGTTTGTTTTCTTTTCTTTCTTTCTTCTATTGTGTATCTGTCCGTAGAGGTCAGAAGAGGTTATTAGCTCTGGGAATTGGAGCTGCACACAGTTGTAAGCTGCCATGTGGGTGCTGGGAACCTAACCTAGGTTCTCTGGAAGAGCACTGCTCTTATCCACTGAGCCATTTCTCCAGCTCGCCACTGCATTCTTTAGTGTTCTAAGAAACACTAGATCAAATAGTTTTTGTGGCAGAGAAATGTGAATGTTTTTAACATGCAGTTATTAGAAGAAAAGAGTCTTCACTGGTATTTTTCTCTTTACTCACTTTTGATGGGAATATTCTTAGGACTATTATACAGAATTTATTTAAATAAAGCTAGCCTAAGTTATGGGTTGGAAGTAAAAACATATTGAGGAAAATTCTTTATATAGTTCATATCCTAGTGTTTTGGTTTAGTAGTAGTGAGACTATATGAGGTTTAAATTTGAAGCCTTTTATGTTATTATGTTTCATGTATTTTTATAGTATATATAATTTATGAATGGACCATCATAGATTAGGAAAATGCTGTTTGAGTGTGTGGAGTACTATGTGTCTATATTCTGAATACTTGGGATACAGAAACAGGAGGATCACTGTAAACTTGAGACGGGCCTGGTGTATCTAGCAATTTCCAGGTCAGCCAGAGTGTGGAACTCTGCCTCCGTACCACTGTCATCCAAAACATGGAAAGAAAATGTTACTTGGTAATGCTTTTTATTATATAGTAAATAAGATATGGTAAATTTTTGTTTTGTTTTGTTTGTTTTTTTAGTTGGGTTGTAGCGAGGAACCTTTGTGTCTTTTGCTGGAGAGGGAATAAGATGTACTTAGAATTGATTCTTTGTTAGTTTTAGGGATTTGATAATTTGATTAAGAATCAATTTTCTTTGGTCTAGCCTACTTAAGAGCATATAGAAAGTTTAGAAACTAGCAACTATTTGTTCCTTTTTTGTTTGTTTTGAGACAGGATCTCTCTACGTAGCCTTAGCTGTCCTGGAACTTGATATTGTAGGTCAGGTTGTCCTTAATCTCACAGAGACCTTAACTTTGCCTCCCTAGTGCTAGGATTAAAGGCATGTGCTTCCACGCCCTCCCCACTTCCTCCATAAATAACCTTTTGGATAATTCCTGTATATCATGTGGATACAGAGACAACAGAGATGAACAAAACCAGACATAATACTATAGGCTTGATTTATGGTCTTTTGGAGAAGAATTAGTGAGTGACTTGAATAGGAAATTAGTATTGTAGCAAGTGTGTACATTGAGGAGGTAATACTTGAAAATGGATCTGAAATTTGAGTAGGTGCTAGAAAAACAAGAAAACACAAATTGGAAACAGTAAACAAAAAGTAAGATTAAAAGCTCTGTGATGAAAGGAAGAACA